AGGTTGCAGGAACAGCAACTCATATTCTGCTTGGGAACGCTGCAGCCCAATGGTATCAATGTGGATTTCACAAACTTCAAAATCTCCCCTCCCCCTACTGCATCCCAAAACCAGCCCAGCTTGTCCCCGCCTCCCTAACCTGTCCTACCTCCCACCTATCCCCTCCTCCCACCTCAAGTCCCACCCCCATCTCCTACCTATGAACCTCATCCCGCCCCCTTGACCTGTCCGTCCTCCCTGGACTGACCTATCTCCTCCCTAACTCCCCACCTACACTCACCTTTACTGGCTCCAACCCCGCCTCTTCAACCTGTCTGTTTCCTCTCCACCTATCTTCTCCTCTATCCATCTTCTATCAGCCTCCCCCTCTCTCCCTATTTATGTCAGAATCCCCTTCCCCTCCCCCATTTCTGAAGAAGGGTCTAGGCCCGAAACGTCTAGCTCCTCTGATGCTGCCTAGCCTGCTGTGTTCATCCAGCTCTACACCTTGTTATTTAACACTCAACAGTAAAGCTGGTTAAGTGTTTGTTAGACTTATCCTGCCTGGTGATACGCGCGATCGGATTCATCTTCACAGCTCACAGTCTCCACCAGTGCCCAAGAAACACAAAAGCGATGTTCCTTTACATCCTATTTCACCAACGACTGGCTCTGCACAACATGAATTGGCCAAAAGGCTGAGGGAATTGCTGCAACCAATTTGAAATGAGTTTTCCACATACACTGCAAAGGATACTTCTACACTACATATTGAGAACAATAGTGTCCACGTGATCTTCAACAGTGCTAGCTTCCTCAGCAGTGTACCACTCAAGGAAGCCATTAACATCTTCACTATATCACTAGATCTTAACAATCTAGATAATACCAGTGCCTGAATCTATTTCCATTTAACTCATGAAGGATGCAGCACGCACAATTGAGTCCAGATTAAATGACACCATGTACACCTGAATAAATGGCATTGCCACATGATGCCCTTTACGCCCAAATCTTGCTAACATTTTTTCGGGTTACCATGGGAAATGAGTGTTTGATGGAGAATGCCAAACCTCCTACCTTTTTTATATACTTCCGACACCTAGATTATGAGTTTACTGTATTTGAATCTGCACCTTCATCAAAGAATTTCTTAACACAGCTTAAACTCAATCCTGTGCTGACATGCACCAGTGAAATGGAGCAATAAAATGAGCTCACTTTTCTCGATGAGAAATCTGCCAATGGGCTCTCAATCACACTTGAAAGTCTATGTTTATGTACATATTGGAATTTCTCCAGTTCGCATGCTACAAGCTCCACGTTACTGGGTAACCCCACGAATAGATCAGCTGCTCACTGCGTAAACTTGATGCTGAGGTAGGGCAAATCAAAACTCTCCTGTGTGATACTGGGTACACCAATCGAATCATCAAATATTGTATGCCGCACAAATTTACTTAAGATCCTACGGCCACCACTTCTGGCCCTGAATGTTATCTGGTTTACCCGAAAGGGAAATGTCTAAGCAATTTAAATAATGGAATCTAGCGTCTCAGGCTGCAATCTTGCAGTAAATACACAAATGATTTTCTCTGCTAATAGGATACTGCTGTAAAGCCCAAAAAGATGTTTTGCCTTCTACGTAAACGAGCAATGTGATAGATGGGTTTCAGCGCCAACGCGATGCCAGGGAAGTATTCACATTATTTACTCATGACTTGGAAAGTAGTATCGAAAGTCATATATCCAAATCCGTTGATAACACAAAGTTAGATGGCATTTTAACCAGATGATAGCATAAAATTACAAAAGGATACGAATAGAGTAAGTGAATGGGCACAACTGTGGCAGATGGATTTCAAAGTAAGCAAGTACGAGGTTGTCCATTTTGGACTGAGAAAGGATAGATCAAGGTACTTTCTAGATGGTATGAAGTCAAATACACTGGGTGTCCAAAGAGACTGGCGAGTTCAGGTGCACAGTTCTTTAAAATGTCATGACCACGTACAGAAAATAATCAAGAAATACAATGGAATGCTGGCCTTTATATCAAGAGGACTGGACTATAAGGATGCAGAAGTTATCCTGCAGCCACACAAAACACTGGCTACACTTGGAGCACTACGAGCAGATCTAGGCACCACACCCTCAGAAGGGTACATTGGCCTTGGAGGGAGTATAACTTAGGTTTACAAGAATGATACCTGATCTTCAGGGGTCGTGGTACCAGCAGAGATTATACAAATTGTATCAGTTTTCTCTAGAACTTTAGAGTGATTTCATCCAAGTCTTCACGATATTAATAGGAAAAGACAAGGTAGATAAACTATTTTCACTGGTTGGGGATTCTAGAACTAGGGGGCATAGTCTCAGAATTAGGGGCAGACCATCAGGAAAGATGTTAGGAAGCACTTTTATACACAAAGGCTGGCAGAGGTTTGGAACGCTCTTCCACAAACGGCAGTGGACGCTAGATCAGTTGTAAATTTTAAATCTGAGATAGATAATTTTTGGTTGAGCAAAAGGTATTAAGGGATATGGGCCACAGGCAGGTAAATGGAGTTCGGTCACCGATTGGTATTGTTCTCACTGAACGGTGGAACATAGTTGAGGGGCTAAATGGCCGACTCCTTTCCCTATATAAGGCTTAGTTCTTATCACCTGGTGGACCGTATCAAACAACACATCCCTTCGACCATTCATAGTGGGCATTGTGCTCAACCAGCCCATGCCTGCAAAGCCCAGAACACCAATGTCCAACATTAGATGGTGACATAAATGAGGACTGGGAAGTTTACAGGATACAGTAAAGGAGGACCAAAAGACTGATAAGGAAGAACCAAATGCAAATACAATCTAGCAAAATACATAAAAAACAGACCGTTAATGTTCCTATAGGCACATTAAAAATCAATCAAGATAATTCTGGGCCTATTAAAAGCACAGTAGGGAGAATTTACAATGGGGAACAGAGAAAAGACAGAGAAGATAAATTATTAATTGGTATTTGTTTTCAGTGAGAAATCTCCCAGAATTAGAGATCCAAGTGACTACCAAGGATTAGGAGTTGAAGGAAATTAGTATAAGGAAGAAGATTGCACTGGAGAAATTGATGGGCCTGAAAGTTGATACATCCCCAGGGCCTGATGGTCTATATCACACAGTGTTGAAAGAGGTGGAAATAAAGACAATGGATGTGTTAGTAAACATCTTCCAAAATCCTATTGATTCTGGATTGATTCCTGCAAATTGGAAGTTAACAAATGTCATCCCATAATTTAAGAAGGCAGCAAAAGAAGAAACAAAAAACTACAGACCTACCAGCCTTACATCAGTGGTAGCGAAAATGCTACTGTCTACAGGACATAATAAATGGAAACTGGACAAAAAATAATCTGATAGGACATTGCATGGGTTTGTGAATGAAAAGTCATGCTTGTTGCAGCTTTTTGAGAATGTAACTTACGAAGTAGGAAAAGGGGAGTTGGTGGATATGGCATACTTGCATTTTCAGAAGGCTTTGGTAAGGTCCTTCCCACATGAGGTTGGTTAGCAAAATTAAAGCATGTGGTAAAGGAAGTGATGTGCGAGCATGGATTAAGGACTGACTAAAAGAGAGGAAACACAGAACAGGAATAAACGGGTCATTCTCCATTGGCATAGAGAGTAATGAGGTTCTGTCAGAATGAATACTTGGGCTCCAGCTAGTCACAATGTATTTCAATGATTTGGATGTGGGGACCAAATGTAATACTTCCAATTTTTCATTGATAAAAAGCTGAGCAGGAATGTTGTGAGGAAGACGTAAAGTGTTTTCCGGAAGATTTAGACAGGCTTTGTCATTGGGTAAAAACATGACCGATGACATTAAAATGTGAGATTATCCACTTTGGTGGGAAGAACAGATTTGCAGAGTATTTCTTCACCAGTAAAAGGTTGAAAAATGTTAATATATACAAGAATTTGGGTGTTCCTTGTCAAGAAATCACTGAAGGCTAATGCGCAGGTGCAACGAGCTGTTAAGAAGGCTAATGGAATGTTAGCCTTTATCACAAGAGGATGGGAGTACAGAAATAGTCAAGTCTTACTTCAATTGTACTGGAGCTCAGTTGGAGTGCACTGTGCAGTGTGCAGTTTTAGTCACCTTATCTCGGGAAAAGATATTATTGCCATCAATGGAGTGCGACAAAGATTCACCAGACTTCTTCCTGGGTCAGGGGACTGTCCTATGAAGAATCATTGGGCAAACTGGGCCCTGTATTCTGTCTACAGTTTCGAAGAATGAGAGCTGACCTCATTGAAGCCTATAAAATACTTACAGATAGGGTAGATGCAAGCATGGGGATTCTCCTGGTTTGGGAAGTCTAGAACCAGAAGCATAATTTAAAAATAAGGGAAACGCCATTTACGATTCAGATGAGATTTTTTTTCCACTCAGATGGTTGTGAATCTTTGCGATTCTCTATACCAGAGAAAGAAAGATCAATTTCAATCGGCCATGACCATGTCGAATGGCGAAACAAGCTCGACAGGCTGTACGGCCTACTCCTGTTTCTGTGTGACTCCAGAAGTTAATTAAGTTAAGTTTATCAATCAAACTTAAACTTCATGAGTTTGTGTCCCCAGTGGATTAGCCTGGGCCTCTGGATTATTGGTTAGGTGACATTATCACCATCTATCAGTATTTTAATGACGTTGGGTGAGGGACAAATATAAGATGAAACACTGGGGAGTATGTCGCACCTGCTCTTTTTTGAAAAAAGCATCTTCTACAGCCATCTGAAAGAGTTAACAGAGCCTTGGTTTAACAAGTTATTAGAAAGACAACAACCCCAACAGTGCAGCACTCCCTCACTCCAACATCGCAGTGTCAGCCTACATTATGTGCATTATCTGGAATGGGCTTGAATCCAAAAAATACTTTCTGACTCAGATGTGAAACTTCAACCAGTTGAGTCACAACTGAACACCAACATCTGAAATTTTATTTTAAAAAAAAAGCCTAAATTTAAACTTACCGCATGGTTTGCAAGTCAACATCTTCAGCTACTTGCCCATCCATGGTGTTTAATGAAGCATTGTTCTGTCTAACAATCTATAAGGAAACAAGTGGCAAGTAGAAGTATTATATTGAGGACAAAGAAGCAATATTCTCACTCTAGTAGAGTTAAAACTGTTTCACGATGGAAATATTATACTCCACCATGAAATTTCTTTGCATTAGAATCCAAAATTGCTGCTGCATTCAGGCGACATTACTGAAACACTTAACCGTAAAGGCCTTAAACATTCCTGTTTACTCAAATATTATATTTGTATTAAAATGTGTCAATTCTGACACCAACACCAATCAAGAAGGTCCACATAATGCAGGAAATGCCAAAGTGGGCTACATTGTCCTGCATGTATCAAATATATCGAGTGCTATTGTACTTACATTCATCCAGACAAATGGATAGTATATTATCACAGTCCTGGTTTGTGGTTTGTTGTCAGTGAACAGTGCTTGAGGAGCAAAAAGATGAGTTTGTCTCTCCGTAGAATTCCAAGTCTCAGAACAACTCTTGTTACTATAGTGTTTATTTGTTTGATGCAGGTAAATTTCTGGCTGATGACTAGGAACTCAACAACCAAATGCCAATGAACATTAAGGGGGAATGGTTAGATTCTCCTTTGTTGGAGATGGTCACTTATTTAGTGGATAATGAAATAATTAACATGTGGAAGTGGTCTAATGAACATCCTAATCCTCACCCTCAGTGTGAAAGCCGAGGCCAAAGTATTTGCAACCATTTTGAGCCAGGAGTGCTGAGATTCCCAAACATCAGCAAATTCGATTTACTCTATCAGGACTCAAGAAATGTCTGACAGCGATGAATCCACCAAAGAGAATCGTCTTTGACAATGTCCCAGCCTTATTATGAAAGACATGTACGCCAGACCTAACAGCTCTCCAAACCAATCTGTTTCAGTAGAGCTACAACACTTACAGCTGTCCAGCAATGTGGAAAATTGCCCAGACGTCTCCTGTCGACATCCTGCAGGACAAATCCAATTCAATCATTTATTGCCCTGTCAGTTTTGTCTCAATCATCAGTAAAGCGATGGAAGGTGTGGAATTAAGAAATAACAAGGGGAAGATGACATTGGTCGGAGTGGTCTATTGGCACCTTAACAGTAGCTATACTGTAGGGCACAGAATAAATCAGGAGATAACAACGGCATGTAAAGCCAGCAGTACATTAATCGTGGGTCATTTCATTCTTCATGTAGAATGGTAAAACCAAATTGGCAAAAGTAGTCACAAGGGAAAATTCTTAGAATGTATTCGGAATTGTTGCCTAGAACACGTTGTAGATTCAACCAGGGTTCAGCCTGTTCTGAATCTAGTAATGAGGCAGATTTAATAAATGATCCTAGAGTAAGACATCCCCAAGGCTACATGGCAACATTGAGCATTCAGTCGGAGATCGAGAAATCTGGATTGACAATAACTGTGCTAAATTTAACAAGGGTAGTTACAAAGAATTGGAGGGAGGGCTGGCTGGAATGGATTGGAGAAGGAGTTTCATAGCAAAGACAATTGAGGAACAATGGCAGATGTTTAAGAAAATAGTTTATGGCGTATAGCAAAGATCGATTTCAGTGAGACACAAAGATTCTAAGAAGGGGATCATGGTTAACCAGGGTAGTTAACGATATCATCAATTTAAAAATAAAAACTTAGTGTGGTAAAGATTTGTGGCAAGCCAGATGATTGGGAAAATTTTTAGAAACAACAAAAAAGAAACCAAAAGAATAACAAAGAGGGAGAAAATAATCTTGAGGGCAAACTAGCAAGTAATGTCAAGACAGACAGCAAGAGCTTTTTCAAATAAAAGGCAGAGAGAGGCCAAAGTGAACATAGGTCCTTTATGAGTATAATAATGGGGAGCAAGGAAATGGCAGAGGATGATGCTTTTTAAATTCATTCATTGGATCGGTGTATCAATCGTTGGGGCAGCATTTATTGCCCATTCCAACTGCCCTGGAGAAGGTGGTTATAAGCTGTCTTCTTGAACTGCTGCAGTCCTTGGGGTTTAGGGACATCTGGAGTGCTGTTAGGAAGGGAGCTTCAGGAATTTGACTCAACCACAGTTAAGTAATGGCAATATTATTCCAAGACAGTGAGCATGCGTTTCAGAGAGGGACGTGCCTGTGATATTTCCATATATCTGTTGTCCTTGTTGCAGGTTTAAGAAGTGATGTCAAAGGAGGTTTGTCTACACCTTGTAGACACTGTTGCCATTTTATGTTTGTGCTGAAGGGAGCGATTATTGAACTAGGTGGAGGGATTGTCAATCAAGAGAGCTGCTTTATCCTAGAAGGTATCAAGCTCGTTACGTGTGAATGCAGCTTAAGTGAAGAGCATTCCATTACATTTCTGCCTTGTATGTAGTGCACAGGCCTTAGGAATCAGGTAGTGAGTTAGTTGCTACAGGATTCCCAGCTCTGGCAGACACAGTACACACAGTACAGTTGTGGTCAATGGTGACCCCCCCAACCCCCCAGGGTGCAAACAGTGGGGCATTCAGTGAAGGTATGCCATTGACCATCAAGGGGCACCAAGGAAGGTGCTCTCTTATTTGAGATCCTCATTGCCTGCCAAGTCTGAGTCTCTTTCCATGCAGTCACACTCCCTCTGGCTCCTGACCACTGACCAAATCACAAGACCCTTTCACAAGTATGGGATTTGCATTGATCCTGGAGTAAATTGTTGAGGTGACTTTTCCTCTCCCTACTGTGCCGCAGTATCAGCCTCCAGCTCACTGACCCTGAGCCGAAATGATTGCAGCCACAGGCGCCTATTTCAGATGTGTTTGCCTTGGATCACACGGGTGTCCAGAAACTCCCACATTCTACAATCACAGAACATCAGCTGCCCTGCCAACTTTACGGTGTGTTATTTGACGAGTGATTCTTTCTTAGACAGCATCTGCAAAGCTCATGTCCAGTATCATCGAGAAGTACAAGACCAGCGAATACACGTGAGGCACGATCAACTGCAGTTCTGCTCCGGCACTGTAACTTAGAACCATATCACCATTCCCTCACTGTCACTGGGTCAAGATCCTGTAATTGCTCCCCTAACAGCACTGCTCGTGTGCCTACACTGAATACACTGCAGTGGTTCAAGCACCTTACCTCTGCCGTAAGGATTAGCAATAAATGCAGGCCTTGACAGCGATACAGGAACCCAATGAATTAATTAAAAAGAACAAACACCAAGGACAAAACAGTACTCAATCTTTCACCTTTGTCCCCTGCTGTAATCTTCAGCATCAAAGGCTGAAGGACTCAAAGCTTGAAGCACCTGTTAGTTAGGATGTAATGTTCCTATTGACTAACCCAGTTTCAATGCTAACTGCGTCAGGAACCATAATTTGCATCATACTAGTTGTCTCGCAAGGTAACAGCAAGGTCAGCTAAAGCAAAATTTTCACTGAAACAAACAAATGTTACAATTGTGATGATGATCACAGGAAATAGGAGAATAAAAGGTGGAAGGGAATTAAAGGGGTAGATAAAGGCAGTGGGAGAGACAGTAAGAGAAAAACAGAGCGGGGGGAACATAGGTGAGGGGACGAGGGGGTGAAGGCTTCAGAAAAAAGGGACTAAGAGAGAAAGATAGGAAGAAGAGAGAGAAGAAGGGAAATGAACAGAAAAAAATGTGAGAGAAACCAAGGTTGGAGATAAAAGGAAGGTAGAAAGGGTAAGAAAAAGCAAAAAGAGGCAGTGACATTCCAAGGCACTTGTGAATGTTTATGAGCTCACATGTAAGGCAGGCTTCATGACTCCAACTTTATGTGATGAGTTTGAGAGACAGAGATATGATGAATCTCTGAACAGTTAGATGAATAAGTGCACAGTATGTTCCCACAAACAGCAACATTACCAGTTACAAACTTTTAGAAATTACCGCTAAAAAGCATTTACTTGCAACAACTCTAAAATCCTGAGGAACAAAAACAAAGTTGCTGGAAAAGCTCAGCAGGTCTGGCAGCATTTGTGAAGGAGAAAACAGAGTTAACATTTCCGGTCCGGTGACCCTACCTCAGAACCCTTCCTAAAATCCTGAGGTCTAGAGAACTGCCTATATGAACTCTGAGCCTAGCTCACTGGAGAAAAGCCCTTTGCTTAGAAACAGATGTGGAAGCTCCTCAGTTTCATGATCTTGACTGCTCTCCTTATTTATCAGGCAAATTTACTTCTCCGATTCTAAGCTTTGAAGTGGAATTTCCATTCCAGATATGATCTGATCAACTAAAACACAAAGTCCTTGCATAATCTGCCTTTCACCCAAACGTGTAGGTGCTCTCCATCCTACTCAGCTGTAGGAAGATGCAGTGTCTTAGCAATCTACATGGTTTAACGGAGCTATCACTGCAGTGATAGCACTTGCTGAGTTTAAAATATTATGCAAACTTTGTAAAATGCCTCATCATACTGGTAAGACAGGTCACTAATTATTTTACCCAAAAATCAACTCTCCACCAACGCATATTCTTGCTTTTCTTTGACAATAAAGGTTGCTCATAATTAGTCACATTCCAGTGCACCTTAAGAATGCTACGTAATGGAAGAGCATCACTGAGATTTCCACTCTACGTGGGTGGTCATTAAACAAACTAATAGTTCAACTGCAGAAGTAGTAAATGGGTGCACTGGAATCTTTCTCAGTCTAATTGTACAAGAGACAATTTCCATTGCACTTAAGTAAATAAAGAGTGTTATTGGCTATTATGTAAAATGGCCTGTAGATTCCAAGATGTGCTTCACATCTCCAAGTACTGTTTAAAGTCTGCCTGAAGACTACATTATGTTAGGTTTACTCTTTCGGCGATGGAACATCCTGCCAGTAGTGGATTAGCTGCCATTTACACATACACACATGTTTCCTTTCAATGAATAAATCAGGTAGCTTCCCCATTCCAGCCTACATCCCACCACAACCATCAATTATGCTCTGCCCCAACGGAAAACCCCGTCAAATGGAAAACCCCCTCAATATGCCTCCTCTGTTTTGGAGGTGACAAACAATTGACTCCAGACTTG